AGTACCAATTAGTCATATTTAGCATTAACTTCTATCCTGAAATTCTCCCCCAGTGACTTACATTAATGCTTACTATATGATATGAAGCAAAATATGTTGTTTGGGATTGTAAGTTTATTGAAGACAGCAAAAGTGGAGGAAGATATAAAGCATTTAATAATTTGATTTTCTTCACCTATTTTGAATTCCTTATTCCCATGAAAATAAAGGAGGTAGGGAAGGAATTACTCAGTTGAGTAATTGCTCTCTGACTAGAGCTAGGTATGCACAATCTGGTTCTTTTTCCACATAATAATTCACAAAAACACAATTTCCCAAATGTTAACTTCTTTACAGAGCTAAACTGTCTTGACTTACACACAAGTTGTTTTTAATTCTTCAAGACACAAAAGAAGGGACGACACAGAACTCAAATCCCCTTGGACAGGTTAAAGTTCCCCTTAACTGTGATGCTTACATATTTAAGCAACTACCTGATTGATTAACTTTTAGATCATTTTAAAGTTTGGTTTAAGTTAGCTTTGCTGACCCTGAAGATCATCACATATTTCATCATAGAGATTATCACATTTGGGACCCAACAATCTGCTATGTTAAGCACCTTACTGCACATAGGATGTAAACACCCATGAATGGTAACCTTTTTCCAGAAGGGAATATCACTGAAGCCTAGATATTAAACTGGTTGTAATGACTACATCACTATTTATATAAGTAAGCTTTTATGGAGGAATACATAGCTAGCTTTAACTTAAATGCACACTGATTACCACTTAGTATTTTCCATGATTTCTTCTAACATTTTCCAAAATTATAACCATTTAAATAAACAGTGGTCTCACAAAAGTTTAAGAGTGTATGCATTTAATATAGAACAGAGACACATCTGTCACAAATCAAAACAGGAAATTAGGAAAAAAATTAGCAGCCACCTGCTATTCTCTAAATTTTGCCTGATCTGAGTCAACTAAGCTTTCCTTTTAAATAAAGTTAGAATGTATGCCTTTATATGATCAGATTCATTGGCAGCTAAAAGCATTATACCCTGGAGGTAAAAGTCCCTGCTTTCATCCTCTTGGAACAAATAATGTAAGCTCTTGATCATAGGAAGACTTAATCACCTCAAAAATACTTCAGTGAAGTTTGCAATTTATCTTTCTATTAATTACTCCTACGTTGTATCTTTCCTTCTTATAACCCAGCTGGACAGCAATTAAAGTTGTGCAAATAATAATCTTGCTGCAGTACAAAGATCTTCAAGAAATATTTTCTGGCTTTTATCTTAAAGATAAGAAAGAACTTATTTGGACAAAAATTAAGTTTTTAATGAAAGCCTTCTGGGAAAAGTAAAGAAGGAAAAGCTAAATGATTTTACAATGCTATTAATTAAGTCAAGTTTATAAAACTGGCTTCAGGGTTTTCCCTATAAAAACACCATCAAATTCCTCTTCCACACATCATGCTTCATTAACACTGTTTTCTTCCTATTATGTCTCTAATGAAGAAAAATACCATTGCTTGAGAATGAAATATCAAAACGCTGATAAGAAAAACAGTAATGATTTGACATTGGGGAGTAGCAGTTTACAGATGGCAATTAACACCAATGAAAACATATCTCAGGTACTGACAAACATCTGCTTCCTCAGAACGTTGTTCCTGCCTGAAAGAAGAGGGTGGAATGGCTAAGATTGATGTGATGTATCTGAAAAGACTCTCTAGGCAGAAATTTGACTGTAATTCTGTTTTCAGACTGTATAAACCATTTTGAATTTTACCATATTCACATGCTTTCACAGTGGTGCTGATTTCATGTTTTAAAGTGCGTAACAGCTTCATCACATAGTTATCTAAATCAATTCCCTCTAGTTTTAATAATTTAAACTGAACTCATGGCCTGAAGATACTGACATCACTGTTTCTTGGTGCACTATTTGATAGAGCAGATTCTCAGCTACAAAACACTAGTTTTGAACACAATTACCACCATTAGCTGTGCATTTTCATCAGTGATGAACAAAAGCCTCCATGATGCATTCAAAAAAATCTGCACCAGTGGAGGTAACCCACTTTTGCCAAAGTTGTCCAACATGTAACTGGGCTCACATCCACTGCTTGGTCTCCATAACCGTTCAACAAGCTTTGATGAATGTCAGCAGGTGACAGTTTTTCTGTATGAAGGAACTCAGTATTTGGTTGCTATTTATTTGTTTGTTTGTTTGTTTGTTTTTCTGACAGGCTGTCGAAAGTATTTGCATTCACTGAGGCTTCTGAAAGCAGTGTAATTATGGAACAAAGTCCAAAACATAGCAAAGTATGCAGCATTTATAGTCACAATGTCCAGTAATTTCTGCTAGAGGTATGCCATGCAGGTAAATTTAGGAGAATGTAAAAGTTTTCAAACCAGTGCTCTAAGGATAAAAGCTGCTCACATTTGAAGTGATTCATGACAGAAACCTTGTTCGTTCTAGGATAATACGTGTCTATTATTTCCATGTGAAGAGTTCCATAGAAACTCTTCAAGATTAGTTTCACATCACTCTTGCGACTTCTACTGAAGACACTATTAAAATCACATTTAATAAGCCTTTAGAATATTGAGTAGATCATCTGAATCACAATCTTCTGTAAGTTAAAAGGTATTTTTGTTATGATTTTACAAGTGATATTAGATTATATTGTCATCTTTGGAATGTTCTCAAACTTATGTATAAAACTGCTTCTCTGTGGTAACTGTTCATACTGACGAGATGAAAGGAGTATTAAGAGGCAATTTCAGTATGCAGGCAATTGTTAAAGGCATTGATTCTTTAGCAAAGGCTTGTGCATATGAATTGAATTAGCTGCACAACTATTTTTCAGAATTCTTATAAGGGAACCTCAACTTATATACAGACATTTTGACTGGCTATGAAGAACAGCTCAAAATATCAAGCTATTTGTAGATGGTCATTTACTCTGGTAGACTGCTGCTTGCACAAGTCACTGCTGCTTGACCACATCTTTAGATACTGAGATTTCTTTACAGTATTAACTTTTTATTGGCCATCCAACACTTTTCTATCAGTCTAAAATTAGTATTATTTAATAGTAGTAATATTTGATGTCAGTATTTACAATGGTACCAATTATCCCAGTTATAATTATTTAAGACCAGTTACTAATGAATTTGATGAATAGAATTGCTAGTAAAAAAGAGATTACTTTGACATGAATGAATTTGAAGTAATATGTAAATACATTTTCAGCACTTTCTTTAGGTATATTTTGATTTTCTCTGGTTCAGTTTGTTATTCTACTCTCTAACCTAAATATATACTGTAGCAGCTCTCAAAAGAGCAGGCCAAAGTGATGTCAGAAGTTTCCTGCTTCACTGTTGAACCTGAGATGCTTTAATAGTCAGACTTCCTTTAAGAGACTTGAAATGTATGTATTGTAGCTTAAACTCTACTCTTTCCTACTTGCTGTCTAAGCCAAATACAGCATGTCTGGACAGCGCCAACTATTGGGCATTCCCTTGGGAACAGGTTAAGAGGCAGAAGATCGTAAGTGAAAACAACATGACTTGTACATTACTGAGAATGTGGACAGAAGGATCAAGTAATACAAAGCAGAAAAACAGAATTAAACTATCAGTGAAGAAAGAAAATACTAAATAGAAATGGCACTTGCTATAAAATAAGTCACTCTGGCCAAGACTGCTTCTGTTCAGCAGAAGACGCCCCTCTAAATACCACAATCCCAGTATGAACATATTGACCCTTCCCAGCCTATTGGGTATTCAGCTTGTAAGCCTTCTTTGATTCAGGTATCTCTGGATATCTACTGAGCAACTAGTTTTAATTCTTCAGGTATTTAAGAAAGCACATATCCATTTTTTTTCCATCGTGCACTTTTTTAATGCTCTCAGAAGAAGCTTATGTGGTGACTTAGATGGGAGAAAGAGGAAATGAAAACAGAAAGGTCTGAAATTAGTTGTTTTCTTTGCAAAGCTTTGTTTTCTAAAGGTATGATTCATACTCAGTGACCAGCACAATAATAAAAACACCTTTCTTTTCAGTAAAATACATCATGTATGCTACATTCAGCATTGCAGCTCTCTTTGCTAATTAGAATTATACATTACAGGTGACTATTTCAGACTGCTCACTTAAGGACCTCAATTATAGTACCTATCAGTGCCTGCATTTTTTCCCCGCGTTGTTTCTTAATTCTTCATGCAGAAATATCTCCATGAGAAGTGATGGATCTTCTTCCTGCCAGTGGTAAGTCATGTTTTTGGATTGAAATATGAAGGAGCATTATCTCCATAGGGGCATCATTCCCTAAGTGCATTGTGAGTATATTAAAATATGGTAACAGAACTGAGTCTGGCAGAAATCAGAGCAGCTTTTTTCACTTTTATGGAAAAGAACCTACTAATGATGGGGTCACACATTTCCCAAGTGCCTACACTCAGGTCATAATATCCACACACGTATTTACAGCACATTTCTATCAGAAGTTACAGGTCATGCAGGTTGGACACAGCCTGTCAAAAAATTCATCAGGCTTTTGGGTTACTGTATGACAAGATTTTAATAGCAAGCTTTGCAAACTGGGCAGGGATGAAGTTGGACAAATTAGTGTGGTGTTAAATGATCTGCTCTGCAGTCAGCCCTTCCCAAAGGGCACCCTGAGAACTTCTCATCAGGCAGGTTGGGAGCCAGATCTCAGCACAGGAGAATAGCCAGTCCCATGATGTGAATCCACAAGCAGAATGGAGCAGACAAATCACCTGCATATGTTCCATATCACTGAAATTTTGACCATGTGATATGTAAAGTTTTGGTCATGAAGTCACTGTTGTTATTTATTAAGTGGTAATCAGATTATTATTCAAATATAGCCAAAACAATAATTTAAAAAAAAAAAAGAGTCATGTTTAACTTTTTGTATTGTCCAAGATCCTTAGAAGTATTTATTAAAATATTTCTAAAAGTAATGATAGTAAGACTTACCCACGTTTAATCTGCCTGTGACTTCTCCATTGGAATTGCGAGCATTCACAGTCACATTGTGAGTAGACTGGAGAAGCAGTGATGAGTCCTAACGCATGGAGAAAAAACTGTAGATTCAGCAGAATGCTTAGAAAAAGTAAGCAATTCTCAAAATACATAGTCTCATATTCATATTACAACCATCACTGAAAGTGCTTTGCAGTTACAAAACCATCCACAAATGTTATCAAATAATTTGGACAAATATTTTTGATTATTTTAATGGTATCAGATTTAAAATAAGAAAGCAATTACAGAGAATGTTTCCAGTGGCCAAAAACTACAGTACTGGGCTGATGAACATGAATGCTAACATATTATTTTTTGGAAAAAAAAATTGTTTGAGTATTAAATTTACTACTTTTCCATACACGATTGAGACTTCCTGTAACATCGTGAACATCAGGGACAAAGAGGGTATTAGCAAGCTGCCTGTTTGTGACTTCAAAGGGGGTCCTCATTCCCAAATGAACAGGTGAGTTTCTAACTGCTGGAATATCGTAAACCATAGAGCATCTAGGTTGGAAGAGAACTCTAAGATCATGAAGTCCAACAGCCTCTTTCACATGTACGGTGTCTGGCAGTTCTGACTCAAGCCGGCGTCTTGAAAGGTGAATCCTTGAATATCACTCCCAAGTCACGTTCCATGCCTAGTGCATGAGTTAACCTGATAATTTTGTACACATTTTATGTGAAGTATTTTGCTATAAAAACTTACCCAGTAACACTGGTAAAAGCAATGCATGATTTGGAGTGCAACTTCGATATTTTTATTAAAGTGGATGTAGGAAGATAGGCTATCTCAAAAGAAATTACTAAATGAGCAGGATAAATGAAATGTGCTTTATAAATTGTATCAGATAGCAGTTATAAATCATTATTGTTAGTTCATGAGTTATATCAGTCAACAAAGATCAGGTAAATATACTATGTTTAAGTACTGATGCTAAATCACCCACAGAGTTGGTCATCTCTGTTAAACTTATCCGACTGCTGTTCATTTAAAGAATGAATTACTCATTTGTGATATTGATTTTAAGTATGAATAAAGTATACTGTAGACCTGCTACTTCCACATGTTGTTGACTAATTAAAATTTAGTAACATATTTGTAACTGCATATCTTTCATCCTGCTATGAATATGTATAAGCTAAAATGAAATGGTATTGCCCACAACTCTGTGTTGCCGTAATGAAGGCATAAAGTTGTAATAGGCTCCAGAGATGATGCATAGCAAGTTGATTTTCTGCAACATATTTTCTTAGCACTTTGGAGGCCTCATTAGGTGAGAAAAGCTGTTAGAAAACTGCAAAGAGAAAACACTTAAGGCAAGAGAGAAAGCTGCTATGATAGCCCAATTCTCTAACAGATGAACTTAGTAAAAGAAGCCATAACAAATAAGCAACTTTATGATAATAAATATAGAGAGTGACACTCAGGAGAGCAAGCTACAGGCAATTAAGCCTCTCTGGAGGCTTATGCTCAATCGAGTTTAAATGTTTTAAAAACAAGGAAGCAAGCTAACAAGCAAGGAAACAAACAAAATCCTGATGAACGATCAGTTCATAGGGGGCAGAGACATCCAGCAGCCTCCAGGCTATAATTAATACATGCTACTAATGATCACAATGGGTCATTAGACAGCTAAGCATAGATGCTGCCACACCTCTTGCTTTCTATATTGTACTAAATCTACTAAAAGATGGAAGGAATATTAAAAGAGCACAAAGGACATCTGAACATTGCACAACTATTTTTCTGGGCAGAGGAAATAAAGTACTAGCTATGTTGGTTTTAAAAAGTTATGTGTCTTATTGGATAAACAACCTCCGGGGAAATTCATGTAAGCACATAAGCAGTGTTCCCACTGCTTCTGAGACAGAAGAGAACACAGTATAAGAAACAAAGTGAAAATACAGATTTAGTGATAGGATCTCTATGCCTAAATGAACTGTTCTTTCTACTGGAAATATTTATTGCAGAAGGAGAGAAAAAAGAAGGCTAAATAGACATAAAGTACATTGGTACAGCTGGAATTTCAGTCATGGAGCATTTCAACCAACTCATTCTAAATTCAGCATTAACCACGTTATCTGATAAATTCATTTAATTTTTCTCTTGCTATAGTGATTCCAATGCTTTCCCCTTAGTTTCAGAAGTCTCATACCTGAATGAGACTCATACTATTTCTTTCAATGACCTGATGAGGATGGTTATGTGTCTGATGGAATAAAAGAGTCAAATTTGGCTTTTAATCTCATTGAGGAAGACTTTATTCTGTGAAATATCCCACTGGTGGATTATATTGCTCATAACTGTTTGGTGAGTTTGGATGACAGAAGATATTTCCAAAAAGTATTTCTTTTTGTTGTCAAGAAACCAATATTGCTCTCTCAGAATACCAATATACCTGTGTAAGTTTCAGTATTCATGTAAATAACTCAAAATTAATTCAGGTTCTTTCTTCTTAATCAAAATTAATTACTCCAATTGAAATCTGCCATACTACACTCAGTGTTTTAAAGTCAATCTGCTTAATAAATGCCTTCTTCGACCAAGTATGCTATTCATATTTTCCCCCAATAATAATACATTTTTCAGTCTATGTAAACAAAATGAAATCTTTCAGTTTAGTCATGTAAATTTTATAAATGTACTTATTTGAAGTGTCATACTTCTAATACTGCTGTGCAAGAATTGGCAAAAATTGAGTTTAGTAGAGAAATAATAGTTTTTCCTACGAGATCTTCTGATTTTATAGATATTTAAAGAGTTTTATGAGCTCTTAATGAATGAGCAAACAAAACATGCAGTTTCATGGGGTAGCATGTGTGAAAAATAGTCTCAGTAAAAATAATAAACTTTCCATGCACTTCTAAAATTTTAGCATCACTTGTGTGCACTGACCTTCCTAATTCATTACTGTCCACTTTTTAAGCATGTACCCCCAATGATCATGCTTGTAAAATATTTATCGTATTCTTGTATTGTACATTCAATACAATGTTCATATATTTCTAAATGACTCTTACAAGCACGGAAAAATGTGTGTATATAGTATGTATTTCAGAAAATGTATATATATTTTTTTAGACATTATTTTTTCCCTGACAGGTACCTAGACTTAGCATAAATCCAACTGTTCATTACTGCATTAATTTTATTCCAGCACTATATAGAACAATTATTTGCTTACCACTCGAGAATGGATTTCTTTGGCATAAAGTGGGAATAAGAATTCAGATTCCCCTTCCAGACGAAGGCCTTCTTTTGTAACACGTAGATGTCCCATTCCTGTCTGAGGAGTAGAAGGAACAATTATATGCATTTTAATATTGTTGCTCTATTTATTTATTTCTTTTCTTTTCATAAACTGAACATTTCCAGAGCTCCCTGCCTCAAACCTATAGATAAAAATACAACTCACTTAAAAAGGTGAGAATTTCTCATTTATTCCTGGCGCGTTTTTCTTTAATGAATTCTAGCTTTCAAGAAACAGTGAAATAGATATTTTTAAGGAAAAATACAATATTACAGTCATTATCTCAAAAGGAAGCGCTCTTGTACTGCCTGAGCTGAAATACCTTTTGCATCTTCCTTCTAAACATATTGTGAACAATGAAGTTTTACACAAAAAAGCTCAAAACCAAATCGTATGGTCAGTCATAACTCATCATCTATCAGTGGTGTACTTCACACAGGATGCAATACTTTTAAGCCTATTGAAAAGACAAAGGGAGATTTTTATTTGCAACTATTTTCGATAACGACTTTTTTTTTTAATTCATTTTTCTTTCTTGGATCTGTCTTTTCTCCTCTGACTGTAGGCTAAGGCTCCACCTCTCACACTATTACATTTCTTCCTGTTGCTTGCGAGTTCTTGTACCTTCCTCTTTCTCACCTAATCCCTCCCTCTCAATTTTAGCCCAGTTCCACTTTCTGCCCTTTTCAACCAATTTAAAACTTTTCTCTTTTCTCCACCATTACCACAGAATTGATAATGTGAAAAATGAAGACTTCCAGATATCCCAAGGTATTTAGCTAATTTATAAAGGATTTGCCCCCTGCCCCACCAATATAAAAACTGGGAAAAATGTTGACAAAAAGTACTTCAGCCTTTACGACTCAGCCACACATAAAATTATTCCAAGTACAAATGGCCTAAATATACAAGAAGTTGGTGGGAGAGCTAGATTAAAACAAAAAATCCCAAAACAATTTCCATTCCAAAACATTTTTCTATTCCAAATATTTTATTTTATTTTATCCATTCCAAATACTTTTCTCTCCATGTAAGGAGAGATAAGGCAATATATGATAGGCCACTTATATCAGTGACCTATTAGATGATTAATTAAAAAATACTGTTTTTCATCACAAAAAAAGGCTTTAGAAGACTGTGGTTATTTTCTAGTTTTGCATGTTCTCACTGATGAAATTAATTATTTCATATGCAAAACGTTAAGTAACATAACTAACCATCATTTGGTGAAAAATATTTTGTAATTATTCCTTTATAGGCTTGAAGAGAGATGAACAGAAACAAGCATGGCTCAAACTTTGTAAGGTATGAAATGTTTGTGTTAGTAGTACATTCCACAGAAGAATACAATTGAGATTCCTATTCAGCATGGATTTATTTAAAGAAAGAGGCTTTTAAAATAGCTATTTATGGAATCTGTTATTTAGTTTCAAGTATTTTACTGCTTTGAAATACACGATGTACTGACTTTTCTCAGTGGCACTAGATTCAATTTCTAAATTCTAGCCATTGCAGAGCTTTTAAAGAGTAGCTAGTATAAACTAACAGATCTCATGAGACAAAACCGAAATAATATCTATGATGAGCCACCTATGGCTTTTGTAATCAATTCCTAGGCACCACTGAGTGATATAGGGATATGTTTTTCCGACTTGTAATGCAGAACAGAGATAATTTCAACACTATAAAACACAGAGGTATTAATACAAACAATTTTGAAAAATGGGATAAGAACATATTAGAATTTTTAAAAGAAATAACATTAACAAAAGCCTTTAATTTAATGAACTAAAAGTAGGATCTGATTATCTGCTCTCATCTCACGCCTTTTCACATTAGGTGAAAGGAGATTATAATAAACTTCATAAGGTTTAAACACTGTTGCTTATTTTTCCTGAAATATGAAGAACTAAATATGCAATATTAACACAGAATCATAGTATGATAGAATGGCTTGAGTTGGAAGGGACCTCAAAGATCATCTAATTCCAAACCCCTGCAGTGGGAAGGACTGCCAACCACTAGGTCAGACTGTCCAGGAACCCATCAAGCCTGGCTGCCCATGGATGGGGCAGCCACAGCTTCTCTAGGCAGCCTGTGCCTGTGCCTCACCACACTGAGTAACAAATTTCTTCAAAAACAGCAAACATTTTCTAATGGCTTTAAATTCTGCTGTAATTATTATTCTAAAAATGCTATATTGGCAAAATAATGCATTTGACATAAAAAATTATATACCACGTGGCAAAATATAACATTTTAACTTACATTCAAGCTCTTTTGTTTTTCATTCAGTCACATCACTCAGGATTACATTGTTTAGGTACTTCATATAAGTCCTCAAGTATGTCTCTTTTTCACCAGATATTCTACTGAACCATTGTCGCAATACTCATGTTCTGAAATATTTGAGTAAGAGCCTCATCACCCATTCTCATCAATTGACCATGGGAAAATTCTATTATTCCCCACTGATAACAAACAAATTGGAGTTACACGGAATGACAAGAGAGGGATTTAGGATGAACAGCCACCCTAATGCACTGATATCCAATGATTAGTTCCATAAAAAGAAAGAATATAATAGCAACACATCATGGTATTTCAACAACCATTCTGCTTCTCACGTGATGACTTAAGATAAGTCAGTTATTATTTACTGAGTATTGAGACTTCCTTGGTGATAAATAATCTTGCTGGTTTTGATTTCAAAGATTTGATCATGTTCTTATTCAAGTCCTTGAATGAAAATATTTCTATTGACCTGAGGAAAGAGTCCAAAGGTAAGTTAGATGCAGACTTTAATGCAGTTATATCATATGAGAGAGAAAAAAAGAGAATGTTTCATTAAACACAGCAGATGTATGGCAAGCCTGGACTTCTGTTATCCTGATGGTGGTGACTGTCAATACCTGAGTGTGCCAGTCCTGATCTCTAATACACCACTGTGCATATCCTCCGGAGACTCCTATGTTGTTTATTTACCCAAAGCTCTCAGCAAAGCACGTACTAAGCTATATAGGAGAATAAAATGGTATCTCTCTGTAGACACTGAGCAGATTTTGCAGTTGCTGCAAGCTTACTGATATGGGAACTGCTAGCAGCTACTAAAACCTTATACAGTAAAGACGCAGTTCAGCATTAATGTTTGCAATGGTGGAATCAGTTATTCATTTCAAAACTGGCAGATACTAACTGAAGTAACAGGATGCCTTCCAGCGCAGTAGAAAACTTTTTTATTGCTTGGAAATGCTCCTGAGTACGTAAAGACTTGTAGAAAGAGAGACAAGTGATTCTATAATAAATGCAAGCTCTGAGAGTATTCAAGCCCCATAAAAGCTCCAAAGAGACCAAAAGTCTCTTTGATTCAGAATCTTGGTCTAGGATATTTGACTGCTATTCAATCAATTACCTCCATAGAGGTACTCCAAGCTGTCTAAAGTAAGTAGCGACCACTACTAACATCTTAGCTAAGGCCATTACAATATGGAGCATTTGCATGGGAAGACCATCTTGGATGGACTGTCATTCTCTTAGACTCTGGAACATGACCAATGTGAAATATTTTTCATCTGAAATCATAGGGAAGCAGTTGTGTGCTCCACGAGGCCAATAAAGATGTCCAGTATGTCCACAAGATGTGGAAAAGTCCTTCCATTTCTTCCAAATAGTAAAGGATTGAGTCCCTCAAGACCAAAAAGATCCAAAAGACTCCTGATGGGCCTGGTGGTGTGTCCCTCTTCTGCCAACAGATGTCTGCCTTTACGAAAGTGCAGAAATGACTTAATAAGGTAAATTTGGCTGGATTGGTATGGCTGGTACAAAAAGGACTGTCTTCTCAAAGCATGATGCAGTCACCTTCTCTCTTTGAGTTGCTGTCATGGTAGAACCTGTTGCTCTAGCTGATGGTCACTGGTGGGTAAGGAAAGAGCAACTGATGTCCTCTACTTGGAGTTGTGCAAAGTATTTGATGCTGTCCCACATGACATCCTTATCTCTAAAATGATGAGACATGCATTTGACAGATGTATAACTTGATGAGTAAGGAATTGCAGGAGGTTGCACTCAAAGGTCTGTGGTCAATAGCTTCATGTCCGGGGAGAGGTCAATTATGTGTGGTGTTCCCCATGAGTTGGGTGTTGGGACCAACCCTATTTGCATCTTCCTTAGTGACATGGACTGTGGAATTGAGTGCACCCATTTTCCACATTGAGTGGAATTGAGTGAAAGCAAATCTGCAAATAATACCAAGCTGTGTATCCAGTACTCAGCATACTGGAGGGGGAGGATGCCAATCAGAGGGAACTTGACAGGTTCAAGAGGTTCAACGCCTATGTGAACCTCACGTAGCCCAGTGTGCAAGGGTATATGGGTCAGGGCAATCCTAATACATGAATACAGGCTGGAAGATGAGTGGATAAAGAGCAGTCCAGTGGAGAAGGGCTTGGAGGTACTGGTGGAGCAAAAGCTTGACATGAAGCAGCATTGTGCCCTTGCAGCTAGAAAGTCAGAGCTGCATCAAAAGAAGCATGACTAGCAAGGCGAGGGAGGTAATTCTCCCATATCTGCTCTGGTTTTGTGAAGACCCACCTGCAGGACTGCATCCACATCTGGGGCCTGAAGGATAATAAAGAAATCGATGTGTTAGAGTGTGTCCAGAGGAGGGTCACAAAGATGATCAAGAGGACTGCAGCACTTCTCCTATGAAGAAAGGCGGAGAAACTTGGATTTGTTTAGCTTAGAGTAGAGAAGTCTTTGGGGTGACATTTATACCCAGCTTTCGATACTGAAGGGGGCTAGAGGAAGTATGGGGAGAGACTCTATCAAGGAGTGTAGTACCAGTAGAAAGGTAATGGTTTTAAACTAAAGGAGGGTAAATTCAGATTAGACATCAGGAAAGAATTCTTCACTATGAGGATGGTGAGACACTGGAACAGGCTGCCTGGAGAAGCTGTGGATGTTCCATCCCTGGAGGTGTTCAAAGTCAGGCTTTGGATAACCTGATCTAGTAGATGTCCCTGCATATTGCTGGGGGT